GAAGGCTCAGAAAAACAGGGGCACTGGGGACAGAGGCTTTTCATTGTTGCCCATCAGGGCCCCCAAGTGTGGGCTGAGGGGTGGGGCTGGAGAATATGAATGTAGCCAGGCAGACGTAGGCTAATGTCTTTCCAGGGTGCCTCTACTGTGCACTGAATTTGGGGAATTAAGAGAGGGCTCACTCTGGAGCTTGGTGAAGATTTGAAAACAGCAGTGTGAATAGTGGGAGTCGTGTCCGTAGCAAAGAGTTGAGGGCTCAAGGAGGCTGCAAGGCCAGGTGGGCAGATAGCCTTGCTGTGATGGTGGAAATGGCTGCTGTGGAATTCATCTGCTGATGGGTGACAGCAGGGATCCCAGTGGAAGGTGCTGGAAGAGGAGTGGGGGAGGAAAGAGGAGGAGAGGAAAGCACACATATGGGTGTAGGAGGCTCCCTTCTGAAGGGAGGCTGGAAGGAGAAAGATGCGGGACTAGGAGGTATGGGGCAGGGGTGAGAGGTCAGAGGTGCTGAAGCTGCAACTGAATGAGGGCAGCCTCCTTTCTCATTAGGTGGAACCCCCAAAATGGGGGCAAGGTCAGCAGGAAGACCCAGGGGAGAGTTAGGAATTATGGATATCAATTTTTACCCAATTCTTGGTGTGGGCGAAGGTGGAGGGACAGGCAGGGTGAGGGGTCCAGCAGCCATGTGGGCCAAGTCAGAGGTAGCAGGAGGTGCTGGGATCTGTGAAGTGTAGGTGGCCAGGGGCAGGGAGTCTCAGCAGGTTTTGAGACAGCAGGGGCAGGCTGGCTGGCACTGTGGTTTGCCATGTCTTCTTCCTTTTTGAGATGGAATCTCACTCTGTCGCCAGGCTGGAGTGCGGTGGCACTCACTGCAACCTCCACTGGATCTCCACTCACTGCAACCTTGCCTCCCGGGTTCAAGCCATTCTCCTGCCTCAGCCTCCCGAGTAGCTAGGATTACAGGCAAGAGTCACCATGCCTGGTTAATTTTTGTATTTTCAGTAGAGTCTGGATTTCACCGTGTTGGCCAGGATCTCTCGACCTCATGATCTGCTCACCTCAGCTTCCCAAGGTGATGGGATTACGGGTGTGAGCCACTGTGCCTACCCTGTCATGTCTTCTTTATCCTTTTAAGTGACTGTTTTAGTCTCCTGGATTCTGATGTTCTACTTAATATCCACATGTTCTTATCCATGTTTCCCAGGAATCCCTCAGGAGATAGGCGGGGAAGATTAGCAGGTGGGGGCAGGTCATCTCTATTCCACCTCTATTGCAGGGGAGGGGTTGGTGGCAGTGGCAGCGGTGGTCCTGACAGTTTTCTTTCGCCAGACCCATGGCTGGCAGCTCTAGGTGGAGAATATCTACTCGAGGCAAGAGCTTCAGGATCCTTGGGCTGCATCTCCTTCCCATGCATTAGCAAACCTGGAGCGCTGGGCAGGTGGTCTTTACCCAACACCTTCAAGCCTGCCTTCTCTGGCCAGAGGAGGCAGCCCAGAACTGGGGCAGGGATTATTCTCCTTAATATTATCCATAATATTCCAAAAGTTCTCAAAAATTGGTAAGAAAAGGCACAACATCCCAATGGGAAAGTGGTACCACATACTCCGGACTATTTACCCTGCTCAATGGCCTGAGTGTAAGTACAGCCAGTCTTGTCTGCCTCTCCTCTCCCCTGCCTGTGATGCCCCCTCAGAAGCTGTCTCCCCATTCTCGGTGCTTCGCTGATAGAAAAATATTGCACTTCCCACACAAGGCTCTAGTTCCAGACATGCTTCCAGAATTCTCGAGAAACCCCTCCTCTCCCCGGAAAACCCTGCCCTTGCACATTAGGTATCCTGGTTTTCCTGTTGGGGTCCCATTATGGCATCATCAGCAGATGCGGCACAGTTTCCTGAGGACTCGGGGGAATCTGTCCCAGAAACCAGGGTGTGGTGACTTCTGACTCAGTCAAGGGAAGGTTTTCATGGAGAGAAAGTCAACAAAAAGTAAACATTCTAATTTCAAAAATAGTCTCATCATTCCACTTCAGATGAAGGGACTTGGAAAAAGGGGAGCAGGGAGCTGGGTTTTTAATGGGTTCGGAGTCTGATATTGGCATGATAAGAAAGTTCTTGAGATGAATTGGCGGTGATGGTGAGAAAACAATGTGAATAAACTTAACACCAATAAATCCTGTACTCAAAAATGATTAAAATGGTAGTTTATGTTAAATCTGTTTTACCTCAATAGAAAGTAAATAGTTTTGTTCCCAGTGGGCAGGTAAGTAGGAAAAACTAACTTTCTTGCCATCTTTTGGCAAGAGCCTGAGAAACAGTTGGGCACACCAGCAGTGTGAGCTCTTCCAAGGGCAGTGGTGACAGCC